CCCATCAAAGATGCCTCACACCACTTTTCACACATATTACTCAAAAATCCATGCCTATGCTGTCTTCAGAGGAGTGGCAGGACAAATAGAGACAGAGAAAACCTCGAACATACACACAAATAGATCTACAATGTGCAATTCCTAAGTCCAAAAAAATACCTAATCTTTTTCTGAAAGATGGCAATGATCTCATTTAGTGACAAAGTCTAGCCTGATCTGACATAGGCGATTATAGTCTTTACTGATACTGCTTAGTGTGAATATTCATACATTTAACTGCAAAAATGTTAATGTATTTGATTTCAAGATGCTACCCCACGCCTTGCTGAGGGTGTTAAATAATGTAGGATATATGCACCGTTTTACTTTTCCAGATTAAAATGTTTTAAATCCTGAATTCCAAAATAGATCTGGCCCCAAGGGTTTTAGTTGAGGTTACTATAGACCTGTGTTGTTAGGTCACAGTCAGCGGGTAGCATAGATAATTCAATACACCTACCATAGTGGAGTCTTTTTTTATTTGGCTACATTGCAATAAAGGAATGAATAACCCAGGATGGGGGTTAACCATCCCTGAAGCTTTGATGGGGCTGCCTGGGCTCTGTTTCCTCCTTCTTGGCTGTCAAGACAGGAGTGTTAAGTGCTGTATGTGACCTTCCAAAATAGAAATAGCAGCTCAGGGCACAGCCTGTGAAGGAGAAGGAATCCAGGAGGCAGTGAGAATCCACCAAGAGAGGCCCAAACTTTATCCAATTTTTGAGAATCCTGGTGTACTAAAATATAAAAGAAATCCTACAACTGAAACCTAAAAATTGTATTTAAGGATGTTTGCGTTGACTAAATTAACCCTTTAAAATGTTTATATCATATTAATTATTTAAATTATAGGAATCACAATTATATCGCTCTAGCAATCTGATAGAACGCATCACTTAACATTGGTGGAAACATTCATTCACAGTGCACTGAGAACAGCAGAGTTGAGTAAGGGGCAGAAGCTGACAACTGGAAGAGGAGAGTCTTATTCCCTCAATGCTCTGTGTGTGCCTTTGTGCCTGTGTGTGTCACCTCAGAGGACAGGACATCAACAGACTAAATGGGAGGCCCCTGGGGGACCTGCAGCCTGCCCCCGGCCCTCAGGACCCCTTGCTTGGCTCCAGGGAAGAGGAAAGGGGGTGAAACCTGGCTCCCAGATGTGCACTGACACACATGGAGTCTTAAGACCTGTCTCTATGCAATAGGCAGGAGGAGAAAGACTGTTCCAAAGTTTCCATTTTAACAAACTGTCACATCACTGATGGTTTTCACTGAAGGTATGGCTAGGAGGGTTTCAGCAGAGAAGGAAGATGGCAGCGCATTAGAGCAGGCTAAGTTTAGCATCCAAATCTGCGGGAAGGATGCTGCCTTGAGCTGCTAACGACATTCTGCTTAATTAAAATCAATTCTTTTAACCCTTCTTTGCTCTCATTTCCTGCTACTGCCTGTCAGTGTTCTACAGAGGATTTGTCTCATGCAGGGGATCTTGCAGGTTATCTTGTGTGTTTACAAAGGAAATTTCAAAGCATTATTTGTAAGAACAAAAATAAAACAGACCTTCCTAAATCTCATAGCAAGAGAACAGATGAACCCAGAACAGCATTCCATGGAAGAACATGCACCTATTTGAAAGCAGTGAGCACAAGAATAATGTAACAACACGGGCAATTTTTTTTTGGTTTTGTTTTTATTTTTATTTTTTTTATTGCTTGGGATTCATTGAGGGTACAAAGAATTAGGTTATATTGATTACACTTGTTAGGCAAATTCCCTCTTATAATTGTGTCCCGCCCCCAAGAGGTGTGCCATACACCGTGACCAAGACCCCTCCAACTGCTACCCCCACTGCCAGCTCCCACAACCCCCTACCCCCACCTTGTATTAGCTCATCTACTGCCTTCATATTAGGAGTGAGTACGATGGATTCTTGCTCCACCATTCTTGTGGTACTCTTATTAAGAATAATGCGTTCCACCTCAATCCGGGTTAATACAAAAGATGTAAAGTTTCCATCTTTTTTAATGGCTCAATAGTGTTCCATGGTATACGCATACCACAGCTTACTAATCAATTTTGTTTGTCGCAGCTCAATTTATAATCACCAAAATGTAGACACAACCCAAATGCCCACCAACATAGAGAATGTCAATGATATAACTTTAAGTGGAAGCACCGAAGATTAAATAGTTCCCACGTGATCAGCAATCCCAAACATATTTTTTCCTTTTTCTCTTCTTTCTTTAATTTTTCTTGTTGAGGCAAATACATGGCAAGAGTTGGTCCAGACTGAGGGAGATATCTCAGAAAAGGTCATTTTATTTTCAGGTGTTGCAATCTGTATGTAGATTTCCCTTTTATCCCAGTACTTGCTGTTTGGGCAACCAGAATGATCCAACATAAACAGGACAGGTTGCGTCTGTCTGTCCTTCAGGACTGGTCATCAAACGTCCAGTTCGTAAGTTCGGGGATTTTCTTTTGTCTTTTTTTCTTTAATGTAGTGGTTGTGGGTTTGTTGTGGCTTTGGGTTGTTATGGCTATTGTTTTGCTTGTTTGTTTGTTTGTTTTGTTTTGTTTGTTTGTTTTTTAATAATTATATAAAGGCTTTCGATGATCAATCCTGAGGACCCCTGAGCCAGTCGGTCCCAGAGGCACAGTTCACTGAGGGATCAGAAATAAGGGCTGAGAAGAGGAGAGGTAAAACTGCCCAGGAAGACCCTGGCTGTCCTCTGTGCCCACGCAGCGCTGAACTTCCACCTTACTTTCATTGAAAACCAGACCAGACCCTGGGCCCCCGAGGAGCACTCACTGGACTTTCATGCTCTTGTGATTTATTTTAACACTAACTATTGTTTTAGATGCTGAGAGTATCCTAAATTATTCATGCACTACCTATATTAAAAGTGTCCTTCAAGAACTATTCCTACTGAGGCTTTTGTGCAGTGCACAGCTTCTTTCGTCTTCCTGAGAAGGGCGGGTGAGATGACGCCTTTCCCAGTCTGCACTTCTTTGATGTATATGGGGACGAGGGTCAGGGAAATGGGGGCTTAACTAATGCAAGCAGGGAAGAAAATGGGGACGGTTTTTAATGACCATTAGCCCCAAAACAGGCTTAAAGGAATTTTCTGGGCAGCACAGTCCTCTCCAAGTCTCTGCTGCCCTGGCCTGTTCACTCTATAACACATCCCTTAGAAGAAATCCAGGGGCTGATGTGAAGTCTAAATCTTCATCCCAAACCTCAGAAACTCAACTTTCAGCCTCCATGAGCTACACTCCTGGTAGCCACTGCGTATTTACCAAAGTCTAGAAAACCTAAATTGCTTCTCTGCTTAGAGCTATGCAGGATCCACGTGCCATCTGGATATCTGTCAGGATGTCTGGGATGAGGGCCCATATTCCACATTGCTGCCTGTTTCAGGGCCAGTTCTCAGAGTGGGAAAGGGGCCCCTGCCTATGAGGTGGGTCCCTTAAGCCCACAGAGCGGATGATCACGCCAGCCAGTAAAGCATCCCCTACCTGCCAGTCCTGAGAGACAGCCAGATAGAAAATAGCCCAGCCCTCGAAGGATGTTGCCACCTCCTGATCCAGCTAGCACAGACATGACTAAGTGACCCAGTGCAGTGAGAAGTCTGGAGGGTCCACCCATGGGCCCTTGGGTGACAGAACTCCAGGCAAGTGGAAATGAGCTTATTAAAAATGGCTCTCTATCTAGGGTAGTATTAGTTCTGATGCTGGATATGCCTTGTGAAACTGTTCATTTGGCTTTTACTAGCCATTAATACAATGATATGTGTGTGTGTGTGTGTGTGTGAGAAGGGGAAGAAGGAAGGAAAGATTTCTTCCAAGGACCACCTGCAGTGAACATCACCCATTGACTCAGTTCCTGACTTCTTTTTAGACAAAAATAGCCTTCACCTGCTAACCCAAAAAGTCCTAACCATGTCTCGATGAGCCCACTTCCCCTGCAATCTCTTTCTTCAAGATCAAGTCACTCATCTGCTTAAAACCTTCTTGAGGCTTCTGACATCCTCTGCTTCAAGTCTAAGGTTTCGACCATGACCAAGAGAGCCCCAAGAATTAGCCATGCCTGCTTCTCCCCCCTTAGATAAAGCCGTCCTTTCTTTCACTCCCCTGGTCTCCTTTCTGTGGCTCTAAATCAGCCACAACCTGATTCTCAACCTGTGGGTTGTGACCCACAGGAACTGTATTAAAGGGCCGCGGCATTAGGAAGGTCGAGAACCACTGCTTTCAAAGGTATGGACCCTGCCCTAGGGTTTGGCATGGGTGGCTCCCCGCTGGCTGCTTTTCATGAAACAGCATAGCTCGGAAGTCACTGCCTCAGCAAGGCCTTTCCTGCGTCTCTATGTCACCCTGTTTAGTTTCTTCACAGTTTTGATCACTGTCATAAATCACTGTTTATGTCTGCACACAAGAAAAATGGACAAAGATTTTGCCTGCCTTATCCACTGTGTGTCTCTAGTACCTGCAGCCGTGCATGGAACATGGTAAGTCTTCACAAAATATCTGCAGAGTGAAATAAATGAGTGTTTTGTATGTGAAAATGACACCAAAGACACCATCACGAAGGCAGAGTTCACTTTCAGCCGGGGAGATGGGTAGTGCTGGTCTCCTCACCCTCTCTCTCCTTCAGGGCTCCTGATAAGCAAATGGCCTGAGTCTGCCAAGCGTCCAGGCCAGAAGTGGGGCATGGCAGAAAAGAGTAAGACAGAAAAAACAGACCTGTCTCCTATGGAGATTAAACCCAAGACACTTCCATCCAGCCTGCAAACAAACCCCAGGGGGACATCGGGCTGCATTTATAACGCTGTCCTTTTCCTTAAATCCTGTATTTCCCGAGAACAAATGACCTTCTGGTTGCTTTTCTCACATAAAAACAAAATTAACAGGGAGATAAAGTGAAGCTACGCACTGAGGAGCTGGGTTCGCAGACGGGGAGCTCAGCGTACCTGTCATGAGGAACAGGAGCCCCGCGACGTGCTGGGTCAGGCTTTCCTCCCAGAAGAAACTGACGGTGGCCACAATGCAGCCACACAGAAGGACGGCCACGGCCATGCCCAGGAAGCCGGCAGTGATCCTTCTTAAATCTAATCTCAAAACAGAAACCAACATCCCAAATCAGAAGAAGACGCAGGAGAGTTATTGAAAATTAGAGAATGAAGAGCTTTGAACATATTATGAAACTTGATAAGCTGAAATTCCTTTCCCAGGTATTTCATAAGGGGGATGTGAGCAGGGAGGGGTCAGAGGCAAAGAAGGCCATGCCAAGTGGGGAACAGACTACAGGGACCCCAGGGTCACCCTGAGCAATAGATGGCAAGTTTCTTGGTAAACTGAGAATGAGGAGGGCTTGAGAAACAACTTTTTTAGCCTTAAGAGCAATGAAAATGTAGGTGACAGCCACCACAGTGGCTATATTAAACTGGCTTTGGGAAAGAGCCTAAAAAGTGAGCTACAGTGAAAGAGGCTTTATCAAAAGCACCCTGGGTGCCAATTATATTATTTTTTTCATTTACATCTACTCCTGCCTGTTTTCAAAAAGGATTTGAGGACGTGAAGGCAACTGTGGTGACTGAACTAGTGGCCCAAAGTACATACATGAGACATTTGCTCACAAACTCCTCTCCTCTAAGATATCAATGCCCTCTCGCTAAAGCACAGGTCCCACAGCCCAAGCACCCACTGACCAGGTTAAGGAGGGACTGCTCTCATGGCACAAGTATCCGCTATATGCCCAACTGTCAAGTTTCATCGATTGCAAAAACACAATCATGATCACTGAGACAGGAATCTAGCTCTTTACCCCCCTCCTTGGCAAAACCAAGAGTTGGAAGGACTATATGTACCGTACACACTTGGCTTCCATGTGCTAACGCAGCACTTTTATTGCCTACCTTCTGGATATTTTATGCTTTCTTTCTATTTCCTTCCTTCCTTTTATTTATGTATTTATTTATTTTTGTACCAAATCTAACTTTAAAAGTTGATAACTAAGGCTGGGCATGGTGGCTCAGCACTTTGGGAAGCCAAGGCAAGAAAATTGCTTGAGGCCAAGAGTTCAAGATCACCCTAGGCCATATAGCAAGACCCCACCTCTACAAAAATAAAACAGTTAGCCAGGTGTGGTACGTACTTGGAGTGCCAGCTTGGGAAGCTGAGGCAGGTGTATCACCTGAGCTCAGGAGTTTGAGGTTACAGTGAGCTCTGATGATGCCACTGCACTCTAGCCTGGGCAACACAGCAAAACCCTGTCTCAAAAAATTATTGTTAGCTAAATTTCTTTGATCCTTTCTTAAAAATAACAGATCCCAGACACATATGCTTCCCCTGATGCCAGGAAACACGTTTGGGCAAATGCATGTGGATCACACACACCCATGTACATGTGGAGCCAAGCAAGGTACACACTGCACTATTTAGAGTGTGGGCTGCTCTGCTACGGTGGAAGTACCAGGCAGCTGCCACCTCGGTGTATGTTTGTGTGGCCCCTGGGCACCTCGGGGATGCTGCGTGGAGAGTGGATTACGGTAGCTTCTGATCTTGCTGTTAGCATCTGAGCCACACCCAGACCACCACCTTTCCTAAAAGAGGATTTCTCATTTCCAGCTCAGAGCATCCCAATTTAAACAGCATTTCACCTAGAAAAGTAAGTTTAAACAGCTCAAAGCAAAGGGGGAGAGGTAGCAATAATTTTAAAACGCTGAGTTTAAAGTTAAGGGTATAAATAGTTTGGAGACATACACATCTGAGCCAGGGGAAATATAATAATAGTTCAGCCACTATTATCTTAACAACCTCTCAATGACCACCTTCCTTGAGGTTTGAGTGACAGTCTGTTTTCTATGACTACAAAAATATACAAGGTTCAGACAGGATGTATACTAGTACCATATATGTTAAGCTTATCCAGTAAATGTACAGATCACCAAGTGTCACTTTCTTAGAAAGAGCCATGCATGAAACTGCTAAAAAAACTTTCCATGAGAGTCCCAAAAAAGGATTAAGAGGAGAGTCCTCAAATATTGCCTTGCTTGGCAATAACAGGGTACAAACTCGTAGAGTAAAAAGCTAAGCTTCTTTTTCAGGATCCTATGATGATCTTTTCTCACCTGACCAAACTGCAGTAACTAGGTGGTAACTCTGAGCAGATGACTAAGGCAAAGAACTGCAAACATGCTCATAAAGAATTAAGACATAAGGGCTGGGAGCAGGGGCTCACGTCTGTAATCCTAGTACTCTGGGAGACCATGGTGGGTGGACTGCTTGAGCTCAGGAATTCAAAACCAACCTGAGTAAGAGTGAGATCCCTGTCTCTACTAAAAATAGAAAAATTAGCTGGGCATTGTTGTGGGCACCTGTAGTCCTAGCTACTCAGGAGGCTGAGGCAGGAAGATCTCTTGATCCCAAGAGTTTGAGGTTTCTGTGAGCTATGATGCCACAGCACTTTACCCATGATAACAGAGTGAGACTCTGTCTCAAAAAATAATAATAATAATTAAGACATAAGGACACTTAGCTAAGACTCTAATTTGGATCTACCAAGAAATAACGGTCAGCAAGAAAGAACTTTCAGGAAGTCATACTATTAAGAAATAAACCACATGTTATCCAATTGCTGTCCAAGTCCTAAAGTTGCCAATCATATGCATTTATAATATTAGACCACTGCTGTGGCAATATCATAACAGCTTCCATTTATGTGTTTGAGATTCAAAACAGAGCCTTTTAATATGCAGAGGAATTTGCTTAGAGAATGAGGCTCTGGTTAGTTTTCTGCAGTGACTTTGGTCACTGAACAAGATCCTGAAGTCCTTGCTGCTTATTCCATTAGCAAATAAGAATGTCAACCTCTAATGATGGTAAACTCCGAAAGAATTCACTGTAGTTTTTTGCTTTTGTGAACTGTCACCAGACAGCTTGAACCAACAGTTTTCAGGTAAATATTGGTCCTCTTTGGATTCATACTGCATGCTCCTTTGGAGAGTTTCACATTTTCCTGACAGAGAAAAAGAGTAGTTTCTTCCAATGAGATGTAGACACCCTCTGAGAAAATTATGACATGCACTCATAAAGATATTTTAGCAAAAATACTAAGGTCTGAGGTAAACAGTCAAAATAAACAAAACCAAATGCAGCACCTAAGGGGTAATCTCCTGGTTTACTAAGAGAAGGGGGAGAGCAAGTCCTTGTACCCAACAAATCAAAGATTCCATACGCTGCTGTGTACAGATGTCACCAGGGCACATCTACCTCACACAGACTCACACCTGGCTTTCACTCATTTTATTGGCAATCTAGCTATGTCCACAGCACAGTGAATGATCTTCTGAGTCTCTGACGAAGCCAGAGGATCACAGAGGATAAGGACAACATCTTTTGGTCCAAATCTGAGAAGGGTGGTGGGAATACTTTTTGTTCAGGAAGATACCATTTCTTCTCTGAATCTTTCCCAGAAATACTTACGAAGCAGATGCCATTCATCTTGCTGTATCGTCTTGGTTAAATTGAAAGGAATGTTTCGTAAGCGGATTGGCTGAGAGAAGTGGTACTTGATAGCTGTGCATCGCTGCGCGATACCTTGAAGGAAATAAGAAATGAGATTTATGAGTCTGCTCATTGGTAATAGAATTCTGGAGACCTAAGGCAGAATAATGTGTCCTACACTGGATTGAATGGTAGAGAGGATAGGACTCTCTTGATTACTTTCATTAACAGATCAGAGTAGGAAAATCCTACAATGTGAAATCATTTTTAAAATCATGTTAATTTATGAATACATTAAATTTTATAAAGATCTGTACTCCCCTAAAACAAACTGAGTTTGTTTTACCTAAACACAAAACTCCTTAAAGAGAAATACCCTAAAAGTATACAGATGGTTCAGAGAATTTTGAATTAATGCAAATAAATTACACATCTGAATTTGATCCAGTCTCAAATTTTCAAATGGGTAGCATCAAAAGGTTCATTAAGAAGTGTGTTATTTGGAAACTAGAAGACATTTTTTTCCATAAACAGAACCTTCCAAGTGATGTAGGTGGTGATTATGTTTCTAGACAACCCACAAAAGCCTATTTAACCCTAGAACATAATAATGTCATTCATTAACATGATTTTATTGATCTGAATTGTGGATCTTGAGAAAAAAGGGTAATATTGAAAGGAGAAAGGAAGAAAATTTCCTCTGCTTCTCTGGTTGTATTGCGGGTCTAAGCACATTATTTTGATATGAGCAAGTGTACTCACTGGTTTATCTAATACATTCTGCTCCTCACACACCCCCAACCCATGCTTTTATTGTGTAAATTAACACAGACCTATTCTTCTCTTCTCCTAGATACTTCTGAACCTGATGAAAAGTATCTACCCTCTCGTAAAATTAAAAAACCTACAAAACTGTCTTCTGTCAGTATAAATCATCTTGGCCAATTGTTTGGATAAATATAACCTAATTAAAACAATTTTTAAAAAAGTGCTAAGTAAAGGTTAGTCCTTTAACCACAGCAGCTGTTCAAAAAAAATCCTCATAGATGAAAATAAATTTCTAATTAGTAGAATCTGAGTAAATGTAAAAGTGAATTTTTTTAAAAAATCAGAAAGTGAATGGAGAAGATATTTGAGCATAATTTGCATCATAAGTCAGTGAGTCCCTCCTGTGAATATACACACAGGATCATCTTCCCGAAAGAGTTTCTCAAATATTAGTGTACACAACAATCACCTGGCAGAGACTTGCTAAAAATGTGACCTCTGGGACCCTACATGAGATATTCTGAATCCAAAATTTGGAGATAGAACCAAGAACCTGAATTTTAACAAACATCCCAAGTAATTCTGATGCAGATAGTCTTGGAATCTCATTTTGAGAAATACTAACCAAACTGTCTCCAATTTTTGGAAGGTTTTTAAAAAGTAAAACCACAAATTCTTTCAACCCTCAAACTTATTTTTCTCCTCGTTTTTTTCCCCATGGCAGTGATTGTGAAGTCTAAGGTATATAAGTTAGCTGCTTACATATAAATTAGGCTGTTCATAAATCAGAAAATGGCTGTTTTTGCAAAGGCCAAACAATCTGGAATGAGAACATTGACAGATAAAGGAGCTACATGTAATAATACAATGTAAATAGCTTACGTTTGTATTTTTTTGAAACTATCTTTCCATTTGATATGCATCCTCAGACTGACCTTGAAACTCTGTGTAAGAAGGTAGAGGCTACAACAGAAGTGAAGCATGTTCCAACACACACACAGAGCCTACTGGCAAAGATTGGAACACTTACTGGTTCCAAGAGGTAAAGGACATTTCTGTGAAATCATTAGTTTACCATTAAGCTGACCAAGCAGGGATTTAGGGGCCCCATATGGCAAAAAATACAGATTTTAGAAAATTAGTTCGGGAACATCATCAAATAAACAAACAGCAACAACAAAAATACCAACAAACTATGGAGAAGGAGAAGAATCTCATTTCAGAGTTGCCACACTATTGTATTTAAAATGCCTGCCCAAAAAAGTACAAGACAAGCAAAGAAATAAGAAAAATAAAAAGTCACTAGAAACTATCACTGTGGAATCCCAGATGCTGAACCTGCCAGACAAAAACTTTAAATCAGCAGTTTCAAATACGAATAAAGAAAAGAAAATCATATCCAAAGAACTAAAGGAAAGTATGAGTGATGTCTCACCAAATACAGAATATCAGTAAAGTGACTGAACTATTAAAAAAAAAAGAAAGATTAAAAAAAGAAAAACCAAACAGGAATTCTGGAGTTGAAAAGTATAACACAGAAAAGAAAAATTCACTAAAGAGTCTCAAAAGAACTTTTGAATAGGTAAGACAAAAGCATAGAAATGAAGATAGGTCAACTAAGATTATCTTGTCTAAGAAAAATAAAGAAAAAAAGTGACAAGAAATGAGCAAAGTTTCAGTCACCTGTGAGGCAGCATCAGTCATACCAGTACTGGCATAATGAAAGTTCCAGAAAAGAAAAGAGAAAGAATAAAAAAAATTTTTTGAAGGCATACTTGTTCAGAATTTCTCATATCTTAGAAATGTGCATATCTAAGAAGTTCAAGGGACTAAAAATAGGATAAATTCAAAGATACCCACATCCAGACACATCAGAATCAAACGTCTTGAAAGCAGCAAGAAAAAGCAATTTATCACATAAGAGAAATCTTTAAAAAATTAGCAGCTGATTTCTTATCACAAACAAGGAGGCCAGAAGGGAGTGGGATGACATACTGAAAGCACAGAAAGAAAAAGATGTCAACCAAAAAATTTATATGTATCTAAGTTATGCTTTATAAATAATGGAAAAATTAAGATATTTCTGGTTAAACAAAAACTGAAAGAATGTGTCATCACTAGCAGACCTGCCCTATAAGAAATACTAAAGGGAGTCCTGCAGGCTGAAACAAAGCAATAATAACTAAGTCCACGTGAGGAATTAAGGAATACATGGAAAGGTCACAACACAGTAAACATAAAAGATGGTATAAATGTATTTTTGTGTTTGTAATTCTTTTTTTCTCCTATCTCATATAAAAGACATAAAGCAATAATTACAAATCTCTGCTGACGGACATACAATGTATAAAGATGTAATTTGTATGACAATAACAGTACAAAGGAGGAGGAAGAGGATACGCTATAAGGGAGCAAAGTTTTTATCTACTATTGAAATCCAGTTGGTATTAATCTGAACTAGACTGTTAATAATTAAATTGTCAGTTGTAATCCACAGAATGATCACTAAGAAAATAATAAAATTCATATAGTAAATGAAACAAAAAGAGAATTAAAAAGCTATATTAGAAAACATCTATTTAACACCAAAAAAGACATTAATGAAGGAACAGATAAACAAAAAGGCGTATGACTTATAGAAAAAAAAGCAGGAGGGAGGGTGACTGGAGGGATCACCTCTACGGTTTATCTTACAAGGGTACAAGTGAATCTTTCTAAAAGTAGAATATAGATGTCTTGACATAACAACTAAGAAAATGACATGAAGGCTATGTTAATCAGTTTGATGAAAATATCTCAAATTGTACATCAAAACACCACACTACCCCATGATTGCACTGTTGCACACAGCTATGATTTACTTAAAAAGAAAAAGAAATAAAAAGCAAGATGGCAGCTATATATCCTACCACCTTGTCAGGAATTATATTAACTATAAACTGGAGTATACAGCACTCCAATAAAAAGACTGAGATTGACATTGTAAGTAAAATAACATTTTCCAATTATATAATGTTCAAAAGAGAACATTTAGATTCAAAAATAATAAAACAGACTTTAAGACAAAAATTGTTACCAGAGATAAAGATATTTTATAATAGTAAAAAGGTCTATCCATTAAGAAGATATAACAGTTATAAACATCTATGCATCTACCAACAAAGCCCCCAAATATATCAAAACACAGCAAAAACAGAGGGAATTAAAGTGAGAAAGAGACAACTCAATAGTTGAAGATATCAATACCCAACTTTCTTCAATTCAATAGTTGGAGATAGCAATACCAACTTCCAAAAGTGGTAAAATAACTGGACAGAAGATCAACAAGGAAACAGAGAACATGAACATTATAAACCAATTTAACACAAGACATCTAAAGAACACTACACTCAACAACAGCAGAATACACATCCTTCTCAGTGCCCATAGAATATTCTCCAGAATAGGCCATAGTCAATCAAACATAGGTCAATAAAGTGTCAATGAAAGTAATACAATGAAAGTAAGTTTTCTCATACAATGAAATCAGAGAAGAAATTTATAAAATTGTGGAAATTAAGCAATACACTCCTAAATAACCAATGAGTCAAAGGATAAATCACAAAAATAAATTAGAAAACATTTTGAGATTAATGAAAACAAAATCACAACATACCAAAATTTATGCAATGCAGCTAAAGCAATGCTTAGAGGGAAATTTGTACCTGAAAATACCTACATTGAATAAAAAGATCTCAAATTGGTAACTTAACTTTCCACCCTAAGAAACTAGGAGAAAAATTAAAAGAGCACGCTAAACTCAGAGGAGAGAGAAGAAAATTATAAAATTAGAGTAGAAATAAATGAAATAGAGAATAGGAAAAAAACAAGTAAAATCAAAAATTGGTTATTTGACAAGACTGATAAAACTGGCAAATCTTTAACTAGACTTTCCAAGATAAAATGACAGAAGATCCAAGTTACTAAAATCAGGAATGAAACAGAGCCTATTACTAATGATCTTAGAGAAATTAAAAAAAAAGAAAAACATGTCAAAAAATTGGATAATACATATAAAATGGCAAATTCCTAGAAATATACAAGCTCCAAGACTGATTTAAGAAGACACAGAAAATCTGAATACATCTATAACAAGTACAGAGATTGAGTTATTAATTAACTTAGTAAAAAAACCTCCCACAAAGAAAAGTCCAGGACCAGATGGCTTCACTGGTAAATTTTTACCAAATGTTTAAAGACGAATTAACAATCCTTCATAGGCTCTTCCAGAAAAAAAAGAGAAAACAGAAGAGGAGGAAACATTTTCTAACTCACTGTATAAGGCC